GGCCAGGAGGATCCTGGAAATGCTTCTTTTGAGAGCGCCCCCGCTGCCGGTTGTGCCTGCTGCTCTGTGCGTTTCTCAGACTGCTTTAGTTCTCTCTGTTTCCAGCAGCAGAAATCGCAAAGTACGGCGTTTTCCCCCATCGTCTCTCGTTCTTGGACTTCCGAAGCGATGGAGCCTGTGCTGATTAAAATCATCTTCGGCTCTCGTTCGCTGATAAGTCAGTTCTTCACCAGGAAAAGGTTGCCGCTGCGCCCCCGCAGAGCTGGGAACGTCTTCCGAAGCCTGCCGGTTCGCCCCTCTGTCGTCGACCTAAGCCGACCTCGGGTTAAAGTCTTCCTATAAAGGGGTTTTATTAGCTGCTGTGCTGGAAAGCTGCGAAGTGGAGCTGCTCCGGGGGACGGAGAGCGCGCTGCAGGCACTAACGTCTGCCTTTCCGCACCTCTCCGCAGCGAGGGGGCCGTTTCGGTCCCGGGAGGACCTCCGCCCCGTGTTCTGTTCTCCCCACCGAGCCGGCTGCGGCTGGCGAGAGCTCTGCCCGCCGGCCTCGGGCCGTCCTTGCCAGCCGGGGCCCCGACGGGACCCGTTCTTGCTCCGAGTTGCACGTCGTTACTGTATCGACGAGGAGAAACAGAGTTTTCTGGCAAAAAACGTGCATCCCCTTCTGTACTTTTCCCTCATAGCGCAGATTTTGGTTGCTTGTCCCCCTGCCCCGCAAGCTAGCAGGGCGGCAAGGAGGGCAGCTGTTTCCCTGCTGCCCGAATTCTCAGTCCTTCCCTCTTTCCCGGTGCAGTTTTGTAAACTTCTTCTGGGGGGAGAGGAAAAGGGGAGGGTTAGGGGATGGAGGAGGACAGGGACCGCTGGAGGCATTTAGGTGCCATTAAAAATAACGAGTTTATTTGTGTTCTGCTAGCGCAGTCTGTCTGTATCACGTTCCCGGTGCTTTGGCCCTTTCTGCTGGAGAACGCTGGTGAGCAGAATTAAATCTGTACCCGCTGCAGTTCGGATGGGCTGGAATAACATGAGGGCGTTTTTATCCAGGTTAATCTTTTCCAGAGGCTTGTGAACGTGGGGGGATGATGGATGTGAAAAGACACCCTCTCCCCTCTTCGGTGTCCCATCTGCCCAGCCTTGCTGCCACGTATGGTGAAGAAAAAACGTTTGTCCGCCGCGAGCGGAGGGTAGGCGCAGCGAGGCAGGGGAGGAAAGCCTGTTTCCAGGCGTGAGGATGTTTTCCATGCTTTTCACACGCTACCCATCGCACTCCATTTGAGACATAATTTTACTGTAAAGTGACGAGGTTACACGCGCTCTCTGTTAAGCGACGAATGTTGCTCCGTTCTCCAGGAAGGGTGATTTTAATGCTCTTCGAGCAGAAAAGTGCTGCACAATGATGCGTGTACCAGCTGGCGTTAGTTTTCCGTCGAAGACCACGTCTTTAAAGTTATTTAACTAGTGAGCTCTGCGTAAAAGACCAACATTAAAAATAGCCTCCCATTAACGTGGGGTCAATGGTAAGGCTGTTGAGCTCTGAGGAAACGGATATTTCTTTTCTAATTGAAGAGAAATAACCATGTTTATTTTGCAGGCGGTGTAAAATTCAGGGAGAGTCTTTATTCACTTGTGTCTTTGCTGGCTGGAGTTTACAAGTGATCTAATACTTTTCTTTTTTTCATTAGTGAGAAAACCGTAACTTTTTTCTTGTATGCCTTTTTTTTTTTTTTTTTTAACTTGGAGTAAATCAAATGTTTGTTGTCAACCTTTGCTTGACGTTTTTAGCAGCGTGGTTAGGCAGAGCCTCGGGCTGAGGCCGACTGCGGAGCTGTCCAAGAGTTTGAAGTCTAGGAGCAGAGAGG